TTTTAACTTGAGCGGTGACCTCTACAAAATTTTCAATGTTATAGAGATTTTGAACTTTCTTTCCTCCTAACATTAGCACCCGGCCCGACCGAGTGGAAGAAACATGGTGTGATACCCCATAATTTCAGAATACGGGTTGATTAAATCCGCACACAAAAATAAGGAATATCAAAAAAATTAAAGTATTTCAAACAAGCACAGAGTACAAATAAAAAATGAAAAGAATAAATAACTCGCTGAAGGAAAATCTATTAAATAATAAACCCATTAATAATTCTCTAATGGTTACAACTCGGGAATCCCGTAACTCAAGAACCCCTTAACCAAAATCCATTATCCAAAAAAAATCATCAATACATACTGAAGTAATAATATCCTACTTTTAAATAAAATAGAAAGAATGGATAAAACCTCCAGCAGCGGATCCTCAACCTTGATACTTGGAACTTCTAATAACCTGAAAAATAAATCGCAGGTTAAACTCTACTCGCAAGCTCTCTCTACCAGGCCTTTGAAAATCAATAAACAAATCATCTCTCACCAAAACCAATCCTATTAAAGTTTTTATCTTTAACAAACAATGATACACATATATATAAATAATTATATATAATACACTAATCACATCCATTAATAGGTTCATTAAATTTAAAACTATTAAACAATGATTAAATTAATAATCATTCCTAGACCAATCCACAATTTCTTTTAAAAAGAAACTCCTTTAACCTTAAACCCATCCTATTCAGTTCTTTGATCATTTAAATAATAAAACATAATTAAAGTAATATTATATTTAATTCAGTCCATAATAATAATTGTAATTATTTAAATCACATATTCAAAATCCAAGCTTTGACAAATAATTCATATCTCCACCAATATTATTTTATTAATATATATATATATATATATATATATATATATATATAATAATAATAATAATATACTAACTTTTAAACACAAGATTATTCTAATATAAGAATATCTAACCCTAATCCAACTGGTATATACAATAACCCTAGATGAAATCTTAATCATCTAACACATAACAATTTAATTAAGCTTTGGCAAATTAACCATGCCATTATAAATATATTTATTTATATATTGGCAACTCAACCATGTCTCCTTAAATATATTTATTTAAATATTGGCAATTCAACCATGGCTCCACGAGTATATTTATTTATACATTGGCAATTCAACCATACCTCCATAAGTATATTTATTTATACTTTTAATTAGCAACTCATCCATACTTCCTGTGTATGTGTTTTATTCATATAAATATTTAGGCCATATATTTAAGCCTTTGGCAACTCATCCATGCCTACAATTTAACCATGTACCAATTTTAACCTTAATGATGAACTAAATCACACATAAATATCTCATGCATTTCATAAGCATAACATTACTTTAATAACCAGCCTATCCAGATATACTAAATAAAAATAATTAATATTAATCATCTTAAATGATATATATATACATACACATATATTATATAATATATAAATATATATAATACCATCCATAATAATCTTTGATTATTTAAATCATATATATACATATATATCAATATATATATATATATATATATATATATATATATATACACATCCCTCCATATTTATTCTAAACAATTAAACCATATATACACACACACATATATATACTTCCTTCCAAAACAATATATTAATTTAATTATATTTACGCAATTTAAATGCTACTAAATATCGTCAGAAATAGTTTCCCATAAATACTCCATCTCGGTAAATAATTTTTCGACACTGTCTCACTAAAACATAAATATTTCTTAGTATGATGGGAATCATAATGAAATTGGTACCATTAGAAAAATGACGAAAAATTCTTGAATTTGAGCTCAAGAATGACCCAATTTCGATTTAAGATGATTAAGTTATGACCGTTTCAATTTTAAGTGTCGAAACAGGCTAGGGATTTCCCACGCGCGCTCACGTGCTTACCATGCACTTGCACGCGCTGGATTCAAGCTCTGTGTGCGCTAGTGCGTTCTAATTGGCTGAAGTCTTTCAGCTCTTGTGAGCTCGCCCACGCCAGATTATAGCATTGAGCTCACATGAATGCACCCACACCTAATGATCTCACCTGAGCTCACATGTATGCACCCACACCTAATGATCTCACCTGAGCTCACACGTATATACTCATACCAGATCCTCTCACCTGAGCTCATATGAATACACCCAAACTAAATCAACTGCCCATTAATCAAGACACATAAGAGGCCCAAATTTCATGCGTACCATATTAGTATGCGCCGCATCACACCGAATCAGTCCAAATACAATTGAACACTCTAATGGACCATATTAGTATGCGTACCAAATTCCTATGCACTCGCTCACATTGGATTTCAACCTTATTATTGCGCAAATACTACTGACGCTTTCGGTGTGTATATGTATAAATAACATTTATATAATTTTGCCAAAATAATATAGAAAATAATAATAGAATAATTTTGAAAAAATATAAAATAAATTCAAAAAATTCAGAAAAATTCCAGAAAAATTCCAAAACTTCTATAAACCCTAATTAACCCATCTTGGGTCACAGATCAAGTATAACAATGATTTTAAATATATACAACCTATATAAATAATTAAAATCCAACAATTCCAAAAATAAAATAATAATAAAACATGCTTTTAATATTCCGATTTAATTCTAATTTAATCAAATAAAATTAACTTAATATTTTTTATTAATCCATTCTAACCAAGGTTTAAATTAATAATTTAATTAAAGTGTTGATACTTAAGGTGAAATCCTTATGGGTTCTAAAAGGATAGTTAGAGAAGAACTCGCCTGAAAATTTCGAAACCAAATCGATGCTTTAAGCTTTGATTGTCTCTTTCAATTCCGGCGTCCTCTGTCTCTAATCCGGCGTCCTCTTTGTGCCGTCTCATTTCTCTCTCTCTCTTATTTTTCTAACGTGTAAACGTTTAACCCTAAAGTCTTATGCGTATATTTATACACATTAAAATCCGAATCCTATTCCAATGAGGACTATTAAATAAAATAATAATCTTTAAATAATATATATATTTATATACATATATATTGTATTGTATATATAAATACCTCCTATAAATAATCATTAGTTAAATAAATTATATATTCCTATGGGTAAAGTACAGCTACACCCCCTGAAGTTCGGCAAAAGGACACTCAGATAAAACTTACCTGTTTTTTGAACAAAGACACCCCCTGACGGTTCAAAAATAAACAAAGGCATCCCTTTACATGAGAAATTGACCAAATTACCATTTGATCGTTTAGGAGATTTTTTTAACTTTACAATTTAATAAATTGGACCAATCTACCCTCATAAACAATTTATGCATAGCAAAAAAAAAAATAAAAAATAAAAAATGTCCCGCCTTCTTAAAAATGTAGACGTCTAAAATGATTTTTTGGCCCAATACATATATTTCAAATAAATTATATTTTGTTATTACTTCGTTTCTTTTTCTTTTTTATTTTTAAATTAAGATGTTTAATTCTTTCATCTAAAAAAATTAAACCTATCTCTTTTCCTTAAAAATAAAAAATATGGTACCAGTATAATTTTATGCATCTTAAATTATATATCAAATATTATGCATTTCCCAACATAAAAGGAAAAAATAATAATAATAAAACAAAGGGAAAAAAATAATAAAACAAAGGGGAAAAAAAAAAAAACAAAGGCATGCGTAAAGTTATACTGGTACCTATTTTCTTTTATATTGGGAAATGCATAATATTTTATATATAATTTAAGATGTATAAAGTTATACTGGTACCATATTTTTTAATTTTTTTAGATGAAAAAGTTAAGCATCTTAATTTAAAAATAAAAAAGAAAAAGAAGTAATAATAAAATATAATTTATTGAAATATATGTATTGAATCAAAAAATCATTTTAGACGTCTACATTTTTAAGAAGTTGGGACATTTATAAAGTAAATAGCAAAAAAAAAAAAAAGTGAACAATATAAAGTTTTTTTTTTTACTTTTATTTTTTATGCATAAATTATTCATGAGGGTAGATTGGTCCAATTTATTAAATTGTAAAGTTAAAAAAAATCTCCTAAATAGTTAAAGGGTAATTTGGTCAATTTTTCATGTAAAAGATTGTCTTTATCCATTTTTGAACCTTCAGGGGGTATCTTTGTCCAAAAAATAGGTAAGTTTTCTCTTGGTGTCCTTTTGCCAAACCTCAGGGGGTGTGGTTGTACTTTACCCTATACCTATATATATCAATATATATATTGACATATATACCCCTCCATAATGATTATTAATTATATATATATATATATATATATATATATATCTATACAATTATGCAAAGATAATTATTTAAATATATTCATAATCATAGGCCTTTAATATTAACCCAACAAGGCTTCCTTCAAGCCCAAAACCACATCCATTGGTCTCACTCCTCTTAAGCCCAATCCAATTAAAATAAAATAAATAAAATAATTAAATAAACACTTAAATCAAAATAACTAATTACATGAATCACATAAACAAACAAGAATTTACACCATATCAATAAAATCAACACGCCAACAATTAAATCAATAATTAAGCACACAAACAATCAATCATCATACATAATCATGGAATATAAATTAATACAAACAAGACAATTAAATCATAACACTCAATTAACTAAAACAAATCATTTTAAAATAAAAATAAAAGCGATTAATCCCAAATAAATTGAACAAATCATTTTAAATAAAAATAAAAATCATTAATCCCAATAAATAATACCTTTAAAATATAGGGGTATTACACACGGTGCATGGAATTTTCACTCAAATTTTCAAAGAGAGTCCAAATTTCATCTTTATATTTTAGTATAAATGTACCTCCACATGATGCATCTACCATTTGTTTATGTGTGTTGGACAAGCTTTCATAGAAATATTTACCAAGTTGTCATTTTGAAAAGTCATGATGAAGACATTTCTGAAGCAAATCATTCAATCTTTCCCAAGCCTTGTAGAATTTCTCACCATGATTTTGAGAAAAACCCATTATAGCTCTCCGAATTTGATTGGTCTTACTCACAAGAAAATACCTCTTAAGGACTCTTGTTGCATGTGAGCCTAAGAGGTGATAGTATTTGCTCCGAGAGTATTGAACCAATATTTGACCTTTTCTTTTAGGGAAAAAGGAAAGAGTTTCATCCTTAAGGCTTTTTCCAGAAAATCAGTGATTTTTACGATAGAACATACCTCTAGGAATTCATCTAAATGCCGATAAGGATCTTCATGTGTGTGGCCACAAAAAGAAAGCAACATTTGGATGATTCCTTGTGATGACCTTATGGGCGGGTGTGTCGTGGGCGGGTGCAAGAGGCACTGTCAGGCTACCACACTGGCGAGCTACGGGTGCACAGTCCCACATCGCCTGGGTAGAGGAAAGGTGAAGTGCTTATATGTAAGTGTGTCACCTCCAATTGGTATGAGGCCTTTTGGGGTGAAGCCCAAGAGCAAAACCGTGCGGGCTCAAGTCCAAAGCGGACAATATCATACCATGTTGTGGAGTGGGTCGTTACAAATGGTATCAGAGCCTGACCCAGCCGGAAGTGTGCCGACGAGGACGTCGGGCCTCCAAGGGGGGTGGATTGTGATGACCTTGTGGGCGGGTGCGAGAGGCACTGTCAGGCTACCACACTGGCGAGCTACGGGTGCACAGTCCCACATCGCCTGGGTAGAGGAAAGGTGAAGTGTTTATATGTAAGTGTGTCACCTCCAATTGGTATGAAGCCTTTTGGGGTGAAACTCAAGAGCAAAACCGTGCGGGCTCAGGCCCAAAGCGGACAATATCATACCATGTGGTGGAGTGGGTCGTTACATTCCTGGCATAATCTCATAATGACTGGATCGAACATTCGGCATTTGGTAGCGCGTGGGAGCATTATATGCATTTGGAGTGTAATGGTCTTAAGAACCCTAGGTGGAGGATTAGGCAAAGGATGCATGTGCCTCGTGATGAGGTCTAGGTTGAGGAATGTCATTATTCACCAAAAGATCAAGTAAGTGAATGCTAGATATAAGTGGCTTCTTGTCATGTCTTCTAACTTCCCTAAGAAGGGACTCGATTTCAATGTCGATGGGAATAAGAGGATTATAAAGAGACCGTCCACCTAGTACTTCTTGTTGTTTACTCAAGTTAGATATTTAGAAATGTGGTAAAGAGTGAAAGCTAGCAATTTTAAATTGAGTCATGATACTCTAGCTGAAAGATTAAACCGATTTGTTGGGCAGAATGTACGTGGCACAAAAAGACAAATTAATATGGCAATCAAATAGTTCCACTAGCATGTCCATTAAAATAACATGAATTTTTAAAGACAAAATTATCCTTATATTCCGTTCTTGTATTCATCCCCCCTTTGTTAGGGTTACTTAATTAAGATAATCATTTCAAAAACAACTATAATTAATAAAATCCCTTAAATTCCTTTTATAAATTTTATCAAAACACTATCTCTCTAGATAAATGTATAATAATATATAAATTTCTAAAAGGAAATCACCAGAATATATATATGTAAATTCTTAAGCATACTATAATTCAATCCCCTTAATTTTGTTTTTAAAATTTTATCGAAACACTTTTCCTCTCCTATATATATATATATATGTATGTATAAGAAAATGCAAAATTTCGCAAAACATAAAAATAAATAAAATAAATAAGTTTTTAAAATTTTCATCATAACTCCAAAAAAAAAGAAAAAGAAAAAAAAGAAAAAAGAAAAGAAAAAGTGGTGTCAGTCTGTATGCAGAGCTGTTAGGTATGATCAACACTCCTCTACAAGAAACTAACAACAGACTGAATGGGCTCATCGACCGAGTGACGGATCTAGAGAACTGAGTTCATCAAATTAAAAAGGAGAGAGAGAAAAAATGCCACCATGGAAGAGGGATGAGTGGTCTCTCAAGGCGACCTAATGGTGATGGCAACGGTGGTACTGTAAAGTGATATATTTGTGTATCTTGATCGGGAATCAATAATGGTAATGGAGAAAAGAAAATAAAGAATGGTTTGATTCTGGGATAGAGATGGATGAAGAGATATTATGTAATACCCCTAATTATAAAAGAATAGTTTCGGTATTTTATTATTTATTTTAATTGCATTTTATTTGGTTAATTGATTATTGGGTAAATTACACTGACCTCCCTTGAGGTTTCGTCATTATACACTGACCTCCCCTCTTGTTTGCTAAATAATACTAACCTCCCTAAAAGTTTATATACTGATAACACGGACCTTCCCTGCCGTTAAACAACTAACAGTTTATGCTTATATCCATCAGAAAAAATCAATACAAAGATAATTTTACCTTTCTAATACCTAAAATGACATTTTTAACCTCAATAATCACTGCAAATTTACAATACCATCCTTGACTTATGAACTCAAAAGGACAATGGTGCCCTCGTATAAACGAACCCAAACACCCAATGGGTCTAAACTATCTATATACAGTCCACACATATATATCTATAGACACGCACACATCAATCTCATCCATCCATATATATATATATATATATATAGACACACACACACACACACATATATATCTATCTATATATATACACAAAGCGGCTGCAATGGGTGAATCAGGATTCGACGAGCTTCAGTTAGAGAGATTCCGGCGAAGGTAGTTTAACAAATTTCAACTTTTTGGTTTAAGCACCAAATTCCTTTCAATGGAAAAGACACCCCTGAGCATCCATCAGCTAACAATAGAAGGATTATACCTCAAATCTCCCCTTTCTCAATGCCATCCACGTCCGCTCATCCATCCCCACCTCGAAAATAACCTGGCTATATAGCATCACCAAAAACTCAACCATATCCTCTACTTCCCAATCATAAACAGTCTCTCAAACTACACTATATCAATCTCCCATCATCAAAATGATAACAGTGGGCAACCAACACATACTCTTTTTTTGACTTCTACATTAAAGATTACCATAAGCAAATTGAAATTTAAGTTGAATATGTTTGGATTCCTAAGCTATATGCTCAGTGTAAGAAATTTGCACACACTACTGCCCAAAGTCATTTCTAGTTTTCTCTTATATTTTGAATTTATGTTAATTCAGATAAAGTTGAAAATTTTTAAACCAACCAACATAGTGTAAGGATCCGGCCGTGATGCAAGCACTAAATTTAGCAAGGATAGGCCGGCGAGCAAACAAGAACGGGGGCGAGCAATGATGAATAGCAGTAAAGGAGCTTACCGGCGAGGACAAACCGCGACATAAAGAACTCACCGGCGAGGAATGAAGAATCCATCGGCGAAGCTCATGACGGCGAACAGTAAAGCTCTATTGTGACGGCGAGCTCATAGTTTTGGTGTAAACCCATTTCTGTCTGGCAAGTAGTCTTTCTGGTGCACTCCTCTCCGGCAACGCTTCATGCAACGAGCATACCCATTTCCTTGACGACTGAGAAACCTATTTTCTCTCTCTATGAATAGATACAACTTTTTATTTATTTTTTTTCAATTATCAAGATGCATAGCCTTCTCGGGGTAGCGCATTTCTAAGGATGCTGTTAACACTTCATCGTCGAGCACATCGCAGTCCATGCTCTTCTCCGTTGACGTCACCCGTCTCCAGCACAAACCCGTCTCCAGCCGTCGGGGACAGAGGAGAGAGAGGGGGGCTTGTCAGCAGTGGCAAGGCCGTGGGAATGGAGAAGGAAAAAAAAAAAAAAAAAAAAAAATCTTAAAAAGGGTACTATTGATAATTTACATCCATTATATTTTATATTTTTAATAATAAATTAATAAGTAAGGATAAATTTGTAATTTTACCCTTTCACTTAACAGCATCCATTGACAGGGGAGATCAGTGTAATTTGACAAATAAGAGGGAAGGTCTGTGTAGATTGACGAAACCTCAGGAGAGGTCAATGTAATTTACTCTTGATTATTTGGTTATTTGTTATATGTTTAATTGAATTAATTGTTTAATTGGATTTGTGTGCTTAAATAATTTATTTATTTTAGTTGTTATATGGAATTGTTTGTTTATATGAATGTGATGATGTGTTTGTTTAATTGAAATTATTTGTTAGTTTTAAATGTATATTTTATTTCATTTTTACTTTTAAGGATATGGATATGGATAGTAGTAATGGACCAATCAATTGGATCGCATGGACTACTTAGATAGAAGGCTAGATGGGTATGAATAATTACCCACGAATAGTTGAATATATATATTTATATATATATAAACAAATATTTATTTAAGGATAGTTTATTCTTATTACTATTGCTATTATTTGTAATTAATTAATAGTATTAATATTGAATAAGTCATAATATATATATATATATATATATATATATATATATAATTATATATTATATGTATATGTATATGTTTGTATATTACGTATTTTCCTTTATTTTCCTTTTTATTTGTTTTTCTTTTTAGTTAGTAGACTAGTATTGCAATGAGGAGTAGGGTATATTAGTTGGTATTATATATACATAGAGATAATCTGTGAAAGGGTTTTAAAACCCTATTCACGCCACTTTGAGAGGCAGAGAGTTTGAGAGAAAACAGAGAGGGAAAACTAGGGTTTGGCCAAGAACCAAGGCCGATCCAATGAGGAAGAAGAGAGGGATGTTCGTGGGTGAGAACCAGAGCAGTAGGAGGCTTGACGGCAGCCAAGGAGTCGCCGGAAAAACAGAGGAAGAAGAAGAGAAAGTTTCAAACTGAAACCTTAAAGCAAATTCTTCTCATACTCTCTCCCTTAGGCTTCGTGTTCTATATAGGCCTAGGTTAATTCCAGGAGTAATTAATCAGACTTTAAATTGATCTTTTATGCATGCTAATTCTGTTTTAAAACAATGTTAGATGAATTTATTTGTAATTAATTGATCTTGAAATTTATAGCATGAATATTTATTTTTTTTGTTGTTAATGATGCATAATTGATTTATATAAAATACTGGGATAATTCGGGACATAGTTCAGACCATTAGGAACCTTAACGGTGGAGAATGGAAGGATCGGAGGTCGCCTGAGATGGAGAAGATGGGTTGCAGTAGGGCGAGAGCTAGCTCCCAAGGGGTGAGAGTCGGCTCCTTTTGTGAAATTTTTGATGATGGCTCTCTCTCCAGCTCCATGGTGAAGGGAGCCGTCTCCCTTGAGGAAAATCCTGTGCCCTTGAAAAGGGAGGATGCTCTCTTGTTGGGACTTCAACGTGAGGTGTATTTTTAGCACTGTTTTTGGATTTTGGGGTTCTAAGATTGATTTGGATGATTATGGGGAGTTTCAAATGACTATTATGAGCATGTTAAATACCTAGAATGCATAATCCATAATTATATGCTCTGGACATGACCAATATGAAATTTTAATCATATTTGCCTATTGGTAATTGTTGATTTATTGTTTAAAATTGTTCTAGCAATTTACATGGATATTATATGATTTTAGTCATGCATTGCAGAATAATATGATCATGTTATTGTCTGATTATTATTATGTTTATTCCCGGATTTATTGATGTATTATTTTATTTCTTTCATCAATTATTGAATTGTTTAGATGTAATGCACCAGTATGAGATTGTGGCATTCTAGGAACGGATTAACTAAAAATGTTAAGTCCTACCTATTCGGATTTATAAGGGAACGAATTTACTAGAAAGTTAAATCCTACTTATTTTCAAGTCAGACCTAAATAAATTGGATGACATACTGAATATTTATTTTAAGCTTTAGATAGGATGGATTATATATATATATGGATATTTGCCATAATATGAGCTTGAGTCTCAGGATCATGGTTAGGGTGCGTATATTGCATGGGATGACTGGCTAACTTGGACTGTAGTGTACCCTGGTAGGTTTAAGTACTAATGCCCATTATATGTGCGTTTTACATGTTGCCTACTATGCAGAGGCTGCCCTATAGTTTAGTGAAAGCCCTTTTAATGTGTATTTATATATATACGGACTATATAGTTATTGCTGGATTGACTAGGATGTATACGTGTATCGAGTCTCTATTTGGACTGTAATAGAGTAGAACTTGTTCGTGGTTCTGACCCACTATTATTTTTCAGGTGTTCGACAATTTCGGTATTAGAACTTGTTCGTGCCGAGCAGAGACAGTCATTCACTATTCCGACTCTACGTAAGACTCTTCTTTATGTTTTAGCTTTGGATTTTATTTCATTTCAGTTATTTCAGTTGGGATATTATTAGGGGTCCACATAATAGATTCCCGAGTTGTAATGGTATCAAAAGTCTTGGATAATTTATTTTTGGAGGATTAATTATTTATTTAAGAATTAATTATTTAGTTTTATTTTCGCTTATTTATTTATTCTTATTTCTTTTTGTACTCAATGCTTGTTAAATACTTTAATTGTTTGATATTCCCTCGGGTTTGGGTTTGGGCCTGATTAACCCCTGCCTCGGAGTCGAGGGGTTTCACATATTACTGGTAATTGAGATTCTTTGCTAATTGGAATTTTGTAAGGTTAGTTTTATTTTTAAAATTTTATTTTTTTAAGTGTAGTACAGTTATAATAACACGTCACCATCGGATTAAATTTTGGGTATGAGTATTCAGTGCAAGTATCATTTTCTTTTTAAATTTATGTATATCATTACTATTAAGTAAAACAAAATACTGTTAAGTAAAACAAAATAAGTAGGGATCGAATACGAAGACTATAGGGTTGAATCAAATCCAAAATCAATGAACACATGACCAAAGGAAAAGATATTGATTTGTTTGTCCACTAATGCTATAATTAAACTATATAAAAATTCAACAAAAAAATATATTAATGTTCAAGTTAAACGTAAATGAGATGGAGAGAGACTTGAGGCATGAAATTCACCTCAAGTTAATTAATTCAACACAAAAAAATAATTTTACAAGTTAATTTCTCTCTCTCCATTTTTTTTAAAAGAAAAAAAACTCTTTGCCATTTTGTGATGGATTAAAGTGGTTAGAGTAATTTGTCCCAAAAAAAAAAAAGAAAAGAAAAAAAGTGTAACAATTGTTTACTTTTTCCTATTACCTTAGACTATAAATCTGAAAACAAAAGTCCGAAATAAAAGGGGAGGCATTTGAAACAAATGAATAATTAAATGGAAATAAAATAAATAAGTAATAAGTGTGTGTTTGTGACTTGTTTTTAAAATAAATTAAAGGATAAAGTGCAAAAAAACCCCTTCAACTATTGGCCATATGCAATTAACCCCCCTGAACTACAATTTGCCCCCTTAAACTATTGAATTTGGTGCAATTGACCCCTAATGTGACATCTCCGGCCAATTGGTGTAAACGAAAATAGTAAAAGACAATTTTACCCCTGTATAAAGCCACGTCATTTCAAAAAAATTTAGCAACCACCAGCTAAAAAAAAAAATTCTGAAAAAAAAAAAAAAAAAAAAAATCAGGCCATCGCCGTGAGTCAACCATGGCCGAACCAGCCCATCACCGTTCAGCCCACCATTCGAGCTCGTCCCCACTGCCGTCTCTTCATCCGCAAGCTTACAGCCGAAGTCGCAACCAGCTCATCGCCGTTCAGCCGCAACCAGCCCATCGCCGCGAGTCAACCATAGCCGAACCAGCCCATCGCCGTTCAGCCCACCTTGCTCATCGGTCCTCTCCACCATCCGAGCTTTATCCCCGCAGCTGTCACTTCATTTGAACGCCGCCGAGTCATCCACGGCGGAGCCACCGCTGATCCAGCCCACCGATCTCACCACTGCCGCCACTTCACTGCCGGTCCATTCCTCGCCAAAGTCACCATCGCCGTCCAGCCCCCCACCGGACGAATCACTATTCCTCCCGATCGACCAAAGCATACAAACAGAGACAAACAGAATTATACAATCATCAGTTTGTGCATATATATGTATATAGAATTACAGAAACGATATAGAGAGAGAAAGAGGAGAGGAGAGAGAGAGTGCGAATAAATTGAGGAAAATAAACCCTTATCCTCTGAAGCGAATTCTGAGTTGTGATATTTGTGGTTATCGGAGTCCAAGCTTGTGCACCTCACGGCCAAGAGTCATCTGTCTACACGACCTGCCTTCATCGGCTCCGCGCCGACCAAAAGCTCATCACACAGCCGCCAGATCTATTCTCATAGCTCTTTTCTTGTCTCCTCCAGATCTGCCGCGAGCTCGATCCACCATAGACGGATCTGTTCTCACCGGCTTTTCACTGCCATCAACATCCTCAAGCTTGCCGCGCTGCAAATCCAAGTCCAAGACCCAGATCTATCTCGCCGGTTATTTCCATCCTCACAGCCAGATCTGTCTCGCCGGCCATCTTCATCCTCGAAGGTGTAGTTGTGGGGACGGACGGGACGGTGGTGATGGTATCGTCTGTTTTATTGACGATGAACAGTATATATTTAGTATAAGGGCGTGTTTGGGTGTTTTAAGTGGTTTTGGGTGTAAAGGTAAAGGGTTGTATGGTCATTTAAAGAAATTTGGTTTGTCACGTGACCCATCACGTGCGTCTTCACGGCCAAGTCAACCGGCTTATCACCGGAGGGGGTTAATTGCACCAAATTGATTAGTTCAAGGGGGTTATATGTCAAATTAGTAGATCAAAGGGGTTAATTGCATATGGTCAATAGTTGAAGGGGTTTTTTTTTGCACTTTACCCAATAAACAACAATAAATCTGAAAACAAGTTAGGTTTCTTTGCGCCGTCAACGTTATATCTTATGGCTCAAATTAGGGTTTGTCACTCGTGCGTGTCTATAAGTACTCCACGCACATCGACCTTTTCTTTATACCTCCTCTCGCCTCCTCTTCTCTCTCACACACATAGCGCTCAGAAATTTCAAGGTTTTTGTATATCTATGAATATCTTTATATATAAATATATATTGTTGTGTAAGTTTTTGTATTTTTCTTGAATATTTGATGGACATGAAGATGTGCAGTGATGAAAAAAATCGTGTTCCAAAGATAGTGTCTCTCATGACACTGTCTCTGACGGCACACACCTCTAAGAAGTTCTGAGCACAAATCTCACTTACTATTATTCTATTATACAAGTCTCTTAATTTATTTTTGCTAGTAATATTAGGGTTTTCCCCTAAAAATAAAATAGGGGTTTCTTCTGAATACAAGCCCTAATTAGGGTTTTCTTCTGAATAATTAGGGTTTTCTATTGAATACAAGCCCTGATGAAATTAGGGAGGAAAAAGACGAGGTGACGAAGAAATTCATTGGTCTGTCAATCCACTGACATTATTGTGTGATGTTAATCGTGAATCCCGACAGGTTCTGATCGTCTCTCTTCCCTTAGATCCAAGACATTTAGTTCAACATATATATATATATATATATATAATTATATAATTATCAAGTATGTTTATGTTTTTATTATTTTGTTCATGGGCATATGATGAATCTCATAACAAATGGGTAATTTGCATCTGAATGTTTCTGTGTTGCTAAATCACCTTGGAGAACTGATGCTCTTTTTATTTGCTCTTTTTAATTTTTCTTTATAGATAAATGTATTTTTGTTCCTCTTTTAGCTTCTTTGTTAGATAGGCAACAAATATTTTAGATACCTCGTGGTGGCTCTTGGAGAGCATGAAAAAAAAAAAAAAAAAACAAATATTTTAGATTTATATTAAGGAAAAAACAAATATTTTAGGTTTTAACATGTAACAATTACTTAGTTTTGTGTTAACGGTTGGTACTTTAAAATCTCAATAACTATTTGTTTTCACTAGGCAGCGGGACTCCTATCCCTTAAAATTTTGTCAGAATTCTCATGCCCACCTCCACTTCGGCTCTATAATTTTTTTTATTAAAAAAAAAATATATATTTTTTATTATTTTTATATATATAATAAATTAAATTTAGTAATAAATTATTATATATAAGGGTATATTAATAAATTCATATTTAATTGGGGCGGGCCCACCTCGACCCGCAGGAATTCATAATTTTTTCTCATTTTCATTTCTCTTAAATTAAAAGGATCTTCATTCCCGTTATAAACGGGATGGCAGGGTCCGGCGGGAATGAAAAATTTGTCATCCCTAATTTTCAGTCCGGCGGGAATGAAAAAATTTGTCATCCCTAATTTTCACTAGGGCTCTGGCGAGAATTCATAATATTTTCTCATTTTCATTTCCTTTAAATTAAATTCTCGCTATAAACCGGATGGCAGGGTCCGGCGGGAATGAAAAATTTGTCATTCCTAATTTTCACTAGGGCTCGTGGAATTACCAATATGGATCCCCAAATATAGTGGTCTATTTGCCGTCGTAGGCATTTCATGCGAGGGTCAGCTTGTGTTTTTTTGGTGGGTTAAAGGTGTTCGCGCAAGCCTTTCAACTGAAAACACGTGTTTTTTTGGTGGGTTAAAGGTGTTCACACAAGTTTTTCAACTAAACACACCCTTAATTCAAGAATTAGAAAAAAAAGTAAGTTTACTCGTGCATGGCAGAAAGATTATTTAAAAAAAAAACATACTAATAGAGATACTAAAAAAGTAAAAAATTATATATATATATATTAAAATTTTAAATAATATAAAATTAAAAGTTTAAAAAAAATTTATTAAAAATTTAAATAATACTAAAATATTAATATTTTGTTTAACTAAATTTGCAGAGCCAAAGACGCCCTTTTTCCCCAAGCCAGATAAATTGTTTTGAGTGTTTTTTTTTAAAAAATATTTTCAAGTCACTCAGCACGCAAATTTTTTTTAAATATAGAGCCAGCCCGGGAGTTAATTTTGTCCCGCCCATTTTTGCTAAGTCTGTTGCACTGTATGTTGGCATCCAAATCGCCAAAAATGAGCTTTGGCTATTCGTGGTGCAGATGCTCTAAGAGGCATAGTTAGTAAAATACAATATAATTTGATATTTTTTTAAAATATGTTTTAAAAAAACAAAAAATCCGTTATATGCACTAAAAATTCAGGACCAAAAATTTTATTATACACATCTTATTATTTTTTTATATATTATATATTTGTAAGAATAATAAATAATAGATAACAAATAATAAAATAAATATATTACAATTAACATTATCACAATAATAATAATAATTAGAGTTTTTGTTTAACAAGATTCCAAAATGATTTTTTTTTTTGATAGCCTATATATTAATAATAATAAATATATGGTGTGATATTTGTGAAAATTTTTATATTCTCCTAAGTGAACGATTTATAAACTTCCAAAATAATAATAATCATACTAATAATAAATACTATCAAAATTTAAAAGATTTCAAAACAAAATAAAAATATATATAAATGTCTACAAATATAATAAAAAATTATGATTCTTCAAAATTATTGTGTTCCACAAGGTCAAACATAAAGTATAAACATGAATTAAATGGAACAATCAAAATGAATAAACGCTCTTCTCTGAAAAAATAAAATATATTAAAATTAAATTAATTTGAATTTTTTTTAAGATTAAAAACAATAAATTGGAATAATAAAATAAGGATTACAAAATTCATGAGAATAATAAAATGAAATTTTAATTTTAATTGTTTTTAGTAATTTTTTTTTTAAAAAAAAATCAAATTTTAAGGGAAAAAAATAATAAAAAAAGGTTTTTTAATTTATTTTTGGTTCAAATCAATTTTTTTTTTGGACAAATAGTGCCTAAACACTATCATTTTTCTTTAATGAATTTTGTTTTATTTTTTTAAAAATAAATGAGCTCAAAATAACTTATTTTTGGGTTTTTTTTTTTTCTAAAAAACCCATATTGCCAAAAAGTGCCTAACAGGGTTTTTGGCAAAGGAAAAAGACAAAAAAATGACTGGGCTTGGGCAAGCGGTATTTTGCAAGCTAGATTGCTATCCCATGTGAGCTCAACCAATTACCTCTAGCCCGCTACGGGCTCGTTTGGGCTTCTCTTCATGGAAAGGGCCGTTTGGCTAGGGCGCTTTCCTAAGGCCATCTATAGCACCCTGGCCAAACAGTCCTTTCCGCGAGGAGCAACCCTAACGAGTCCGTTGCAAGATAGCGGTAATTGGGCCGGTCCACATGGGCTCGCAATCTAGTTTGCGTGCCCAAGCCCAATCAGGCTTTTTTTTGGTCTTTTTCCTTTGCCAACGTTTTGGGCTTTAGTGTTCAAAACTCTGGAACAATGAGCATGGGTTTTTTTGAGCTCATTTATTTATTTTTTTAAATAAAACAAAATTTATTAAATAAAAAATACTATGTATATTGTTTAGGCACTAAAATTTGATTTGGGCCAAAAATAAATTTAATTTTTTTTTTCTCTTAAAATTTGTTTTTTTAAAAATCTTATTTTGCTTTAAATTTCTGTCACAAACAATGCATTTGGTTGTTAAGACACTATTTGACTGAAACAAATAGTACCTTAACGGTTATAATTTTTTTTTTAAAAAGGTTTAAAAATTTAATATTTTAAAACTAAAAAAAAAATAATTAAAATTAAAAATTCATTTTCTTATTCCCATAGAATTTTGTAATCCTTATTTTCTTATTCAAATTCATTATTTTTAATCTTAAAAACCATTCTAATTAATTTTAATTTTTTTTTTCTTTTTTCATAGAGCCTGATGAAGTGTATGTTTCTGGAGATCGAAAGCTGTTACGTAGCTTTTAGAATTATTGACGTGACTCTTGAAAAAACTGTAATAGTATTTTTGGAGAGTCAAAATCCGAAGAGGCTGGTACAGATACTTTTATGTTGCTTTTGGCTTGGAATCTGTTTTCCAATTGCAAATTAGCAATTTTCAAAATCGGTTTTGGTTACTCGCACTCCCAATCTCCAAATAACTATTTAATAGTTTTGGTTCCTCACACTCTCATCTCCAAATGATAATATTTTTCAATTCAATAACTTTGTAAATTATTACAAAGGTAGGATTGATATCATAATTTTAAATAAAATATTATCTATTATATAGATTTTAAAAATTAAGATTTGTTTTATATTTTACATAGGATTGATTAAACAATATATTTTTTATTTAATGAATTTTATTTTTTTTCTTTTAAAATGAGTTCAAAATAACTCATATTTGAATTTTTTCAAAAATTAATTTTACCAAATGGTACCTTGTTGGGACTGTTGCTTCAAATTTATTTTTTTTGAAAAAAAGCCTGTTGGGAAACAACAAAACAAAGTGCGGGCTCATTCAATTACCGTTAGCCTTATGGTTCTTTGCGAGTCTTCGCGAAAACAGATTATGGCTTTTGAAATGCTGTTTTTAGTAGGGTTTTGTTAATTTTTAGAAGAGTTTTTGGATCTCAAACAAGCATTGCTCTTTTAAAAAAATACGAGAATTTATATTTTAATGAAACTTTTTAAATATCAACTATACCCTTTTTTATTATTACTCAACAATCAAATGAAATATTAACCGTGTCCTTATAAAAGACACAATGTTCTTCTTCCCAAGCCCTAGGGCAACAGAAAAAACTGAGAAACCTCATGCTCAAGCTCAAGATCACCTCTGAATATCATCCCAGTCCCTTGGTGAAATTTTGATGCTTCAATATGATTGTCTTTTTCCCTCTCAAAACCCTAATTTCAATCATGGACTCCTCACATTTTGACAACTACAACCCAATTCTGACTCTCTCTCCCAAAAAATACTCAAACCATCCAGATCTGTAATTTTCAACTTGTCCCACAAAATTTCAGGTGATACTTTATTTTTCTAGGCTATTTTCTTTAATTTTATCACCAACTCACTCGAAATCATTTGTGTAAAGTTCGCTCTTGCTTGATTTGTGAATGAAAAACTTTAAAAAATTTAACCCAAAATATTAAGATTAATTGGGTGGGGCTTCGTCCTTTATTCTCATTCTCTACAAGCAAGATTGTTTGCTCTCTCAAATTTGAATAGTTTAATTTTAATATAAAAACAAACACAATATGGACAATTTTTTTTGTTGTTAGACTTTAAAATTGGGGATTTTGATGTTGATAAATACACTGTTCATTGCTAATTCTAAAATTAATATTATGATTGAAATAGAAGGCAACTATTTATTAATAATAGATTCTTGTTTCTGTAAGTTCTGGTCCCGTCAACACCAACAATTTTGAATACAATATAAGGAGTGCCAAAATTGTGCTTTAATGGATTTCTTTTTTGATAAGTGGGCTTTAATGGAAATGGAAAATAGGAGGATGCTTTGATGTTATTTCCTGAGCATTGCGGTTAGTTCCTGAGCATCAACATGTTGGTAGAATTTAAGGTCCGTTTGTTTTATGCTTTTGCTAACATGAAAACATATAAAACATGTTTGGTAAGTTCCATGTTTTGAAAGACAAAACATGAAAACAAATTGAGCAAAAACAAGAAAACATGTTTGGTAATGTCAGTATTGTAAAAATGGATGAAAACAAAAATAAAAAATTTGTTTGGCAATGACAGTTTGTATTCTTGTATTTTATTATAATAAATTTAAATAATAATATTATTATTATTTAAATTTAAATAATAATAATATTTTATATTTAATAATATTATTTAAATTTATTTATAAATAATATTAAATTATATAAATAATATTAAAATTTTGTAAGAATCTACTTCAACAACCAAGAAAAATTACAAAACACAAGTGTGTATATTAGTATAAATCCAATTTA